TCTGAGAAACAACCCAATGGATATACAACTCAACTGAGCATTACAACAAAGTTAATTTTGAAAAAAACATTAATAAGTTATAGGAATCATTTTTTAAAACTATTATCTGATGAATCAATAAAATAATACTAACTATAAGTGGATTTGCCAAACATTCACATATTCAAGAAAGATAGAAAATGCATAATAAAAATTTTCCAATCAAAAACTGTCCCATTGTCTTTTATTTCATATTTTATGAATAATGTGAAGTTTGTAGGTAGTTAAGAAAGATTATAATTATAAATGTTGAAGAAACATTATGGTTTGTAGAATATGATAAATATTGAAGTAAAAATATACAGAGGTTTCTAAGAATGTATTCAAACTATTGACACCCTCAGTGATGAGATTACAAGGCCATAAATGCATACCCATTTCTTATAGTTTTCTAATTACTAATTTATAGGACATTTATTGAGAACCATCTTATCAATGGCATCATAATTTTCTAACTACTTACATTATGAACAGTACAGTAACTGTCTCTTATACACATCTAGATGTGTATAAGAGACAGGGACTAGTATCATTACCATCTCCTCCACCATCATTTGGTGTTTCTAAAAGGTTAAAATTAATGTATGTCTCTTGTACATTAAATAAATTGGAAGATAATATTCCTCAAAAATAAGAAATGTATTAACTTTTACGAACATATTGAATAGGAAAAATTGTATAAACTGTATAATATTCAAACACTGAATAAACTAGAAACGAATACAAACATGAGTACACTTTATATTTGTTGTATTTTTTGTTATATATAATTTTAAAAAATTATATATCTGTCTCTTATACACATCTAGATGTGTATAAGAGACAGGGACTAGTATCATTACCATCTCCTCCACCATCATTTGGTGTTTCTAAAAGGTTAAAATTAATGTATGTCTCTTGTACATTAAATAAATTGGAAGATAATATTCCTCAAAAATAAGAAATGTATTAACTTTTACGAACATATTGAATAGGAAAAATTGTATAAACTGTATAATATTCAAACACTGAATAAACTAGAAACGAATACAAACATGAGTACACTTTATATTTGTTGTATTTTTTGTTATATATAATTTTAAAAAATTATATATCTGTCTCTTATACACATCTAGATGTGTATAAGAGACAGGGACTAGTATCATTACCATCTCCTCCACCATCATTTGGTGTTTCTAAAAGGTTAAAATTAATGTATGTCTCTTGTACATTAAATAAATTGGAAGATAATATTCCTCAAAAATAAGAAATGTATTAACTTTTACGAACATATTGAATAGGAAAAATTGTATAAACTGTATAATATTCAAACACTGAATAAACTAGAAACGAATACAAACATGAGTACACTTTATATTTGTTGTATTTTTTGTTATATATAATTTTAAAAAATTATATATCTGTCTCTTATACACATCTAGATGTGTATAAGAGACAGGGACTAGTATCATTACCATCTCCTCCACCATCATTTGGTGTTTCTAAAAGGTTAAAATTAATGTATGTCTCTTGTACATTAAATAAATTGGAAGATAATATTCCTCAAAAATAAGAAATGTATTAACTTTTACGAACATATTGAATAGGAAAAATTGTATAAACTGTATAATATTCAAACACTGAATAAACTAGAAACGAATACAAACATGAGTACACTTTATATTTGTTGTATTTTTTGTTATATATAATTTTAAAAAATTATATATCTGTCTCTTATACACATCTAGATGTGTATAAGAGACAGGGACTAGTATCATTACCATCTCCTCCACCATCATTTGGTGTTTCTAAAAGGTTAAAATTAATGTATGTCTCTTGTACATTAAATAAATTGGAAGATAATATTCCTCAAAAATAAGAAATGTATTAACTTTTACGAACATATTGAATAGGAAAAATTGTATAAACTGTATAATATTCAAACACTGAATAAACTAGAAACGAATACAAACATGAGTACACTTTATATTTGTTGTATTTTTTGTTATATATAATTTTAAAAAATTATATATCTGTCTCTTATACACATCTAGATGTGTATAAGAGACAGGTTAATTATAATTAGGGGTTAAAAATATAAATGTAATATATAAAGAGAGAAAGAGGGAGAGTGTATGAGGGAAAAGAAAAGAAAGAGTGAGAGGGAGAGAGAGTGAGAGGAAGAGGTGGGGGTAGGTCATAAATTGTAGTACAAATGGAATGGAAAAGATAATAGGGCTCAAAATAAGTTCAGATGATAAAATGTTTTTTGGTTGAACAAAATTTCATTTTTCAGAAAAATGAATTTTTAGATCAGTGAAGTATTTATGAACCTAACCAATATCTGGCAGAAAGGATTTTGCTACAGATTACTACACTATGACTGCTTTTATAAACAATATAATGTTTTTTTCCAAAAATAAAACTCTGTACAATAAAAAGCTATTTCATCACTTCGACTTATTTTCAGCCGTAGAATCTTAACAACCATAGTAATGTTCAACAGCCATAATGAAAGTATTCAATAAAAATGTTCAAAAAATAGGAATTGCAATATATAAAATATGCATATGCATAAATGCATAAATGCAACGATAAGTCATGAAAACATAAATAGAAAATATTAAATATAATTTTAATAATGCAATGTATAAAAATTAAAATAGATCGCAACATCTACAGTGTTATAATGTCAGAAATATTTTCTATAACCTTCAAAAGCAGAAATAAAAACATATGAAACTAAGTTAAAAATAGGAAAAAATATACATATAATGAAATAAAGAGAAGTAAAATATACCTTCCTGCGTGTCCATTTCTTCGACTTCATTGACCTGAACTGGTGCCAGGTTGAGCTGTTTAAGATTTTCCTGGTCGTTAACGTGGTTCATCGCAATGCCGATATTGATGGTCGTCTTGATTGCGCCGGGAACCTCGGAGGCGGCTGCCGCCGTCGAGGTTACTTCTGTAGGTAGTTTTAACTAGTGTAACCACAAATGAATTTCGACCACAAAGTGATTGTTGCCGTTCAATATACTGACTATTTTCGTCGAGGACGGATGGCTTTTGTTTAAGCAAATTCTGCTGAGATTGTGGATGTTCGATACCAATCGCAACCAGATTCGCGTCACTACTACCACGACTCGAAAACGACGTTGATTTACTATACGACGACAATTGATATTTGCTTACAATGCGTCCAATTTCTGCAACTATCAACTGCCCCCGCTGTTTTGGGGGACGCCCACAACATATATTCTACCTTCGTATATTTTCGTAATTCTTACGTTGTTCTATGTCTTGTCGTCACGGTTGTATCTTCTCTTATTCTTGTAGCATCTGTCTTGTTTGCTCTTCTTAGTTTATACTAGTTCGCTCTTTCTCGCCCGATCCGAGAAACGGTTTTTGCACCGCAGGACCGGCGCGCTACTAATCGGGAGGCCTACGTACTTCTTGCGAACCTTGGATCTTTAGGGTTTAGTCTTAATATTTGTTCCAACCACTGCCAACAAACACCTGAGTAAAAGAAGTTTTTCTACCGGTGCTTCGAGGTTCCTAATGTAGTCACCAGTGCACTCAGCTGACGTTTTCACGGACAACGATATGACGATCTGCTTGGATGATCGTCTCTCAAATCTCTTTTACGCGAAAATAAACAAAATGGCGACGAGCCACACTGCTCTGGTGCCTGCTAACTGTTCTGCAGACAATTCTTACGGATCATGAAATTTTTGCAACTCTTTAGATAGCATACCCAATGAAACATTTTACATATTTTACAGTCGCGGGAAATATAAAAAGAGTTCCATACAACATATAATCGATAAAGTCTGCAATTTTCTACAAAATTGCATATCTATTTACAACAGAGTAATTAACAAGATCTACGTAGATATCAATTTATAGTAAATAAAATAGAAACCAAAATTCACTTTTATTAGAATGTAAAACACATACAATAATATCTATGTTTCTGCAAGACTCTTCGGCCGCAGCGTGCTCCGTTAGCGAGAATAAGAGTAGAAATTGCTTTGTTCTGATTGCCTAACGATTCAATGCTAAGACAGGATTCACTGCGGATTGAATGCACACTAAAATGGTGGGGGTGCAAGTGCTTCGTTACAGAGGAAGAAAATCGTGCAGGCATGTGGTATAATTGTATATATATGGATAATAATGCGTATACATATAAGTTGTGCATATAATTGGCTTTAAGAATGTGCTAATGTAATATAATACAATAAGTATACGCGAATTTTACGTACTCATTCAAAGTTTAATACATAAATTGAAATACTTTTTCTCCACACTTTAAATTGTTTTAGGAGAAATTAATTTATATAAATTCATAAGAGAAATTAACTTATTTAAAATTATAAAAAAATAGGGTTAATATAAACCGAAACTACTCGAAATTGACGGACGATCCGAAATCGTCGAGCTATCCTAGTCTAGCCGAAATCTTCGGACTACTCGAATATTTATACAGATTGTTCCAAAATTATATTACTTCCGGAACAACTGTATAAATATCAAAAAGAGTCTTCAATTTCTCTGTCTGGGTCATTTCAAGTATGTAACTTTTTCCTTAGTAAAAATGCAATCCGCGGCTTTGTTTACGAGTTTTTAATAAAACCGCGGTTTGCATTTTCGCTAAGAAAAAAGTTACTTCAAATGGCCTCAGAAACCCCTCATTTCCCGGAAGTAATAATTTTGAGTCACCCTGTATATGACGGGTACCCGCCCGATTTTTTGTACGCCCGACCCGAACAGCCGAATACCTGCACATCCCTAATCAACACCGTTGGTCTTGAATGGAAATTCTAAGAACAGCCGGTCATCTGGGAATCAGACCTCCTAGCATCCTGACCGCTTTATGACTTTCTTCCAAGAAAATAGGAGTGAGAGAACTGCCCATCACAAATGGGATTGGATGATGCAAATGGATTTCCATTGACAATCCATTGGAATTGTCCAGTCTCCTTTGTGAGGTCTCCTCTCCGCTACTCGGAGTAGATTCCGAGCAGAATTCCTGACACCATTGGACACATTAGGCACCAACAGACATATTGGCCTTGAATAGAAATTCCACGAACGATCAGGATGCTGGGAGATCTGTTGAGAACCCTGCTTAAGAGTCATCAACCACAATGAACGTATCTCCAATAACTCCGTAATATGTATTCTATGGTCAATTGCAGTGGTTGCACTGTGCACTCTTAGAGCATGCATATATATACACTAATAAGTCCTACTCCTGCATACCTCCAGGCTGCAGCTTGATCCGTTAGTGAGGGTCCATGTAGACATTTTTTTGCTTTAATTGCCTAATGATTCATTACTGAGACAGGATCCACTACGGATTGAATGCGAAATAAAATGGTGGGAATGTGTGAGCCAGTTTAGGGAGCAAGAAAAGCGTTTAGGAGTAGGTCCTATTACTGTACATACATGCATATACAGGGTGTCTCAAAATTATGGTACTTCCGGGAAATGAGAGATTCCTGAGGTTATTTGAAGTAACTTTTTCCTCAGCGAAAATGCAATCCGCGGCTTTGTTTACGAGTTATTAACGAAAAACACTGACCAATAAGAGCGAGCGCAGCTGGCGCAAGGCGGCCCAGTCAACGAGGGCACGAAGCACAGTTCCGCTCATTGGCTCAGCCGTCTCGCGTCAGTTGATCTCGCTTCTCATTGATCACTGTTTTTTATTAATAACTCTTAAATAAAGTCGCGATTTGCATTTTTGCTAAGGAAAAAATTAGTTCAAATGATCTCAAGAACCCCCCATTTTTGGGACATCTTGTACATGCTCTGAGGTGAAAATAAGTTAAAAAATTTACAAAATATTTATCCCGCAGGTTGACAGTGCAGTATACATACATACTACAGTAATCATTAAAGTTTTGCAAGACTCTTTGGCTGCAGCGCCCTCCAGTAATAAGAATAGGAGTAAAAATTGCTTTGCTCTGATTGGTTGACGATTCAATGATAAGGCGGAATTCACTGCGAATTGGATGGGTAGTAAAATGGTGGGGATGACTGCAAAAGCTAAGGTAGTAAAATCGTGCAAAACCTGAGGTATTACTGTACATATGTAGATACATAGAAAATACATAATCATTTTTGATGGGGTTGTTCCATTTTGGGGATGATCCTTTTCTATATTTTTACCTATGCCTGTACTAAATACTGAAAAAATAATTTGTTAATGGAATCATATGTTTACAAGTTTTCCTATAATCTTAATTGTAAATAAACAAGTGTCAGTATGTAACAAAAATTCATTCATTTGATTTAAGTAGAGTGTATCTTCCTGCTATGATAAAATATTCATTCTACAATTTTAAACACTGAATTCAAATTGGCTTAAAGCTCATACATAACCTTGTTAATGTATTTCGGACTTGGAGTACATTAACTTTTGCAATAGATGTACTTTAGTTATATATTTACTAAAAACCTTGTAATTGTTTTTTTTAACAAAATTATAGAATATATTTGGAAAGAATTCAAAATATTTAACAGAGAAGAATACAAGTAATAACTGTAAGTATGTACAGATAGCTAGATATTGAATACGTATCAGCTCGCCAATAATATATACAATACTCCTCCACTTTTGACAAGTATTTAATAGTATGTAGGAGGTTTTCTAACTGTGCATGTATTTGTCCATAACCGAACAGTTTATTTATGTATTACGCTTCTCGATACTCCAGTACTATGCAATTAACCCATGCATCATGCTTCCCCTTATTTATGTGTGGTTAGCTTAGACTGTTTTGCTCACTCATAAAAATCGTATTTATTCAACTTCAAATGTACTTCGAAAACATGATTTATTTGTTATTTGCATGCCTTCTTTATGTTTTTGTTTTAGTGTAATTGGATCCACTAAAAATTGTTGCCATATTAAATGTCTGTCTTGAATATTTTTTATTTTAGTAAAAATAATATGATTATCGCTAATATATATAAATTTACCATTTGTTCTTTCATTTGACTTATTACTTTAGTTAAATCTGTTTGTATATTTTGTAAATGATCACAAGCTTCCTTGTAATAAGTTTCAATTTCATACGAAATTGGTTTGAAACTGTATGTTGCTCCCTTTTGAATTTCACTTGTATAACTGTTAAAAATATAATACTTACAACATTTCTAGTTCATCAATTTTGGAATATATGTCTGTTTCCAATATGAATTGCTTTTTAACTTTGTTTTCATTTATGAGTTCATTGTACTTATTTAACGTGGAATTTAATTGCTGTGTGTTATCACCATTACACAAAATAGAAACTAAAAGCTTGATGAATGCATTGTGGGTATCTGGGCAAGATAACACAAACTCTTCCTGTTGTTGTTGCATACTTTCCTATATAGGAAAAGAAGAAACTTTTAATTAGAACAAAATAGACAATTATCTTTAAAAATACTTCCTAATTTTAAGTTTAGTTACTAACACATCGTGTGGAAGCTAATGAATATTCCAAGGTCATATAGTGATATGTATCAGCCACAATTTCTGATACATCTATAAGACAGTACCACTGTCTCTGCATTAGTATAAATAACAAGTCAGCATTTACATGACCACATTCCCGTATAAGGAACTGCAAGTTTTTAACTTTCTCTAATCTAACTTTCCTTTGTTCAAATTTTGAACAAGCATCTTGTTTCAAGATTTTAATCACTTCTAATTCTGCAAATTGGTGTATGACTTATATAAATTGACGTTCTTGTAGCGATACACTTTCTTCCAATAAATTTCTTTTTGTAGATAGTTTCAAAATTTCTGATCTAATTACACATGAAAGTATTATTTATACATACTTAATATATTAAATCATTTTGTAGTATTTAAATGATATTTGATTACCTCAATTCAGAAGGATTGGGCACTTTTAAATTTCCATTATTGTATATCTTTCGTGCATATTCTAACATTGCAATATATGATTCTGGTTTTATTTTAGCTAAAA